CCCTCCCTTCCTTCCTTCCTTCCTTCCTTTCCTTAGTAATTTATAATATTTTAATACCATTGTCTTTCTTTGAAATACTGTATTGTATAATTTTTATTTCCCATTTTTAACTGTTTGACAGCCTTCATACATTTATATAATGAAATTTAATATTTTCAACTCCGCTTCCCTCCCTCCTCCTCCTGAGGGATAACTAATGCTTGTTAGGGTAGGGATGGATGTCACTTTCTTTGTGGCGTAGTCACAGACAAATGGCCCTTGCCCTACAGAACACCTTCCCACTCTGTGCAGGAGATAACTCTGTAACCCAAAGTGGACAGGAAAGTAGAAGGGGACCCACTAAATTTTAGTATGTACTTAACCATTTTTCTAAGAAAATATGTGGTATTACTATTATTTATCATTTCTACATTTTATATTTTCAGGTTCTATACTTACATCAGAATCCATCGGTGGATATTTTCTTCCTTTACTCTTTCCAAGGCATTTTGTTTTTCCTTCTTCCAATAGCTGACACCAGAAGCCTTTATGAGAATCAAACCTAAAAACAGAGGAAATTGACCAAATTCAAGCAGTTTATAAGCCACGATGACCAGCTATCAATTCATAAGCAGGGAAATGGAGTGTTTTTTTTTTTTCCATACAACCTCTTACATAAAGTCTTCTGGCACACTTCCTAATTCTCAGCCCATCTGTCATATTTATGAGTTTGCCAGGTTCTTAATAGAACAATTTCCAGAAGACTTCCTATAAATAGAAGCTTATATGTCAGCAGCAGGGGTCTACCCTCACCCCCTGAAAGGCAACCAGGCCTTTTGTACTTTGGAGTGTTAAAATTTGAATTCTGTAGCTATAATCCACTAAATTTCTGTTTAATGATCTTTTAAAATTTCGGTATGAGGTTAGTATTAAGTGGAAATACCTATAAATCGATTTTTTTGCTGTAATTACAAAAACAATGATAGTAATATGCTAAATTTACATTTCTACTTACAGCACTGTTTCCTGCATTTATTTCTCATTCAGGCCTTTGTTATAGCTCTCTAGGAAGTAATCGCACAGGTTCTGCTCTGTGAATACTCACTAATACAAGGTAGATAATTGGGCTGGGTGCTGTCACACATGCCTTTAACCCCAGAACTTAGGAGGCAGGGCCAGGCCAACTTGGTCTATAAAGTGAGCTCCAGGACAGCCAGAGCTACACAGTGAGACCTTGTCTCAAAAAACCACACACACACACACACACACACACACACACACACACACACACACACACACACGACAGGTAACAATGAAATAAAGAAAATGTTTGTCAAGGCCTAGTTTCTGTAGACTGCAGGCTTCCTTAGTATTCTGCTGAGTTCAAGTCTAGGCCTCTCCATCCTATAGTCAAGGGCCAATCTTTCTATTCTCTATTTATGTCTATCACAGCGGATCTATTTGTGTTATTTGTTGTAAGCAAAGCAGTGATTTCCATGCTCCGATGTAAATGTGGAAGTGACAGCAATGGTATTCCTTCACCTTTGTTAATTAATTATTTGACTGTCACAGCTTCTTCTCTGCTAGGAAGAATTACCTAGGGTTACATCTCCTTTGGTGTTCAGTTTGCATTGCTTAAAATCTTCCTGTGAACAATTCTGGAAATTTAAATGGAAACATGTTCAAATTATAATGAAATTTAAATAAAAAATTTAAATTATAGTCTTGAAGTTCCTAAAAATAAAATAAACAAAAACCATGCCACCATGACAACTGCAAAAACACAAAAGGTGTGTGACCAAATGCGCTGTTTCATTCACAAAGAAGACTGAGTACTTCAAACCCTCTGGCTCCAGCACCACACACAGAGTCATATGACTCCAATGAGAACTTGACTACACTCTGCTGGTTTTTTTTTTTTTTTTGTAGAAATTGAAAATGACTTTGAAATATATATGGAAATAAAGGACCTAGATAAGGGAAAACATTTTAAAACGTTTGAAACAGAGAGTCACCTTGGAGATCTTATACTCCATACTTTCAATGTTTCTTGAATGCTGAGCAATCAGTGCTGCTCAGAGTCACAGTGATGGACCAATGGAGCAAAATAAAGGATGAACAGAGACCTTCATCCACCACACTCACAGTGATGGACCAATGGAGCAAAGTAAAGGATGCACAAAGAGACCTTCATATCTAAGAACTTAATTCAGTGAGGGGACTAAAACCAACTGTACTAGAAAAAAAAATGAATATCAACATGGAACATTGACAGTTTCATCACATTGATCGATAATTTAATATGAAATAGGTCACTGACCTAAAGTTTTAAGTTAAAACTACAAAAATTCTGGAAGAAAAAATGTAGATTTTTTTTTTAGAAAGGGTCTTGTTTATCACAAACTGGTCTCAACTTACTAGGTATCCAAGGAGGACTTTGAATTCCTGATCCTCCTATTTCTACCTCTAGAGTCCTTAATGCTTGGATAACAGGTACGCACTACCAAGCCCCTGGTTCATGCAGTGCTGAGGATCACACCCGGGACTTTCTGCATGCTAAGCAAGCACTCTACCAACTGACCTATATCCCCACCCTACATAAAACATCTTCATATCCTTAGGTTGGGCAAATATTTCTTAAGATAAGTTATAAAATGATAATTTTGAATATATTAAAACTTTGTTTTTTTGAAGATACTTCAGAAAAGAAATAGAAAATTAGAGACTAGAGAAAATATTTGTAAAATGTGTATCTGAAAAGAAATTTATATTTAGTGTATGAAAAATGAAGGGCTAATGGGAAAATGGAGGGGACTTTAATTATGGATGGGGAGGAAAGACAATATAGTGAGGAAGGAAGGGATAAATAATATTCATATGTGTGAGAAAAAACATAGGGAAATACATTACTTTATATGCTTACTTAAAATACACATTAACATACATGTGTACATACATATATGTGTATGTGTATATGTATATACATTTTGTAATAGAGTTATGTCACATGGGTGATGGTGCTCTCCTAAAAGCCATTCAGCATCTAACAAAACCCCAGTGCCTCACATGGGAAACATCTCGAGTTGTTCGTTGGGGGATATAAGAGTTTCTCAAAACAGTATGTGCTATTGCCATTGCTCTTAGTAAGGTCAGACCCTATTACTGAAGAAACTGCGCACTTGAAGGAATCACGTTGGAACTGAACTGGAAGCCCTCCCCCTGAGGACTGGCTTTCACAGTCGTGGCAGGTGCTGTGCAAACTTCCGAGGGAGAGGAACAGACGGTAGTCCTACCCAACTGCAAAGCCCACGAATCACAGCAACACTGAGCCCAGCGATAGCTCCACGATGGTGCAACAGTGGCACTTTTATCCTGGGGGTAACCAGCAGCTGTCTAGTTGGACATAAGGCCCGCTAAGTGGGAAGGAATTCATGTCTGGTACTGTAAACCTAGCCAACTGCCCTTGGTTAGTGAGGTCATAGACCCTAGAGAAGAACTCATTAATATCATTTACCTAAACTAATGTAATTTCTAACCATATTTTTGGTTGTGAGCCTAGCCTTTAACGGCTGAGCCATCTCTCCAGCCCTCTAACCATATTCTAAAGAGCTTCATATCCTCAGATTTGCGGAGTGTTCATCCTTCATCACAGAAACTTCTTTTTGGATTAGAGGGAGACTATTATAGAAATCCACCACTGGTCAAAACACAGAGAATAAATGTCCACGGGGTACTCAAGGCCAGTGGCTACATCTGCAACACAACCCATATACCTAAAGCTCAGGGAACATAATGGAAGAAGGGCAGGAAGGCAGTAAGAAGACCTGGATGCCTGTTGCTTGACAGTGTCCCTTAGACATGACAAGGACAATGAACTCTCCACAATACGGTTCCCTGAAGACCTGATGATGACAATACCAGTTGACAAACTAACATGGATGGTCTATCCCCAGATGAAGCACTACAGCTGGTCAATGACTACTAAGAGAAGAATTAGTTTCCTCTTGGGACAAAGTCCCACATAGGTTGTAGAATCCCAATGAACGCATGTACGTATAAAAAACTAAGTGGACTTGGTATGTTTTATCTATATCTATATGGATATATAGATATGTATGTATGGTTAACAATAATAATTAAGAGTTTATGAATTTGGGAGGCAGGAGGAGTTTGAGGAAGAGGGAGGGCAGGAGTGATATAGATGTTGTGTTCATGTGCATGGTTCTAAAAAGTATATATAACTTTCAAGAATTGAGTAAAATTTTGAAAATGATCCAACCAGAGAATGAGTGTTAAATTTACTCAACTTCATTGATCATCAGGAAAACACAAATTAATATTAAAAATAAAATAACACTCATGAATTTAAATGATGGAATTTAAAGTCCTAAATGAAACAATGGTAAAGATGTGAAGTAAAGAGCACCACAGCCACATTGCTGCTTCTTTTAAATTTGACAATTTATTAATATATGATTTTCTTGAAGGCATTTACTGAATAAAACATGTGATCATGTAAAAATTTTGCTTAAATGATTATAGTAGCTTTGTTCATAGCAGCAAAACAAAAATAAAAATAGAAAAAAAAAAACAACCAGAATCAGCACCCTATCCATCGACTGATGAGAAGAACAGTCTATGACAAAGGTATACAGATGGTTATTTGGTGCAAGAGGATGGAGCACACTTAAAAATGTAATGCTAATTTTTTTTAAAAGATTTATTTATTATGTATACAACATTCTGCCTCCAAGTATGCCTGCAAGCCAGAAGAGGGTGCCAGATCTCATTACAGATGGTTGGGAGCCACTATGTGGGTGCTGGGAATTGAACTCAGGACCTCTGGAAGAGCAGTCAGTGCCCTTAACCTCTGAGCCATCTCTCCAGCCCTGTAATGCTAAATTAAAGGAAGTAGCTGGTCTGGTTTTCAGGGGCCAAGCAAAAGGGAAATAGCTTGATTGCCCAAGAGCATAAAAAGCATAAAATACAATCCTGCAGGGAGGGGTGCCCTGGAAGAAGGGGCACTTTGGAGGGAGAGGTGCTCTGTAATTTTATTATTGTGGATACATTTTACTTGTATTTGTTAAAATTTACTGAACCCATAAATATTATAATTGGGGAGTTTTATTTATGAAAAATCATATATTAATAAAATATCTTAAATAATAGTATTATTTGATGTATGTACTTGTATATGTGAAGTCTATGTGTGGCCAGTTTTGTAGTTTATAACTATTGCCCTATGAAAATAACATGAACTTGTATTTCTGCATCTGCCCTTCTTCAGCTATGAATCACAATTGCAGCCCACTTACACAAGTCCACTTCTTGCTACTACTAAAGTGACCACATGGGACCAGAACACATGGTATGTCATTATATTGTACATATTCTTGTTTGAGTCAGGCTGCTCAAAAGTTAATTTTACATTCAGAGGTCAAAGAAAGCACCAACAAGGCAGTCTTATTTAACTACCTCTGTGCAGAAGTTTCCAGAAGAAGCTTCCAGAACACTTCTAGAATGAAGTCTGCTCTGCTGCAGTAGTTCTCACTAACATTTTAG